GAGGCACTGTGGGCTTCAGCCTAGTCTAGGCTACCTAGCCAGTTCCAGGACAGCCAGGGCTACATACAGAGACCCTGTTTTCAAAAACAAAAGCAAATAAAATAAAACAAAACACAAGTTCCACTCCCACCCCAAATCCCCACCAAAGGAGCTGATTCCTAAATGGGAACACTGACGGTTGACCTCTGGTCATTGTACGTGTGTCCCCACACATACATGAACAAACCATAGATCAGATCACAGAAAATATTTTGGAACCACTTGAAGCTTCATAAACATGAGCCACTTTCATTTCTTAATTAGTTGGAGGGGACGTTTGTTTTGCTTTTAAAAATTGGACTTATATACATTGTGGCAGGATATTTGATCTAACCATGAAACTCCTAAACTGTGTAAATAAAATTAATCTTGGATTAGGGGGTGGAGCCAGCGACTAGTTGACAAGAATTAGCCATAGCAAGTACAGATGACCCAGCACTCCGAATAGATAGACACAGAAAGGAACGGGGGAAGGACTTTGAGATTTGTGGTCCTTTTGGGTTGGGATGCCATGGAGAGACTCTCTCTCTTGCTGGGTCTCTGGTTGAGAAGGAAGGTCGGCTGGTTGCTTCTTAACTTCTCTGATCTAGCAGGTTTTCACCCCAACATAAATAGAACAACTTAGATATAAACAACCTTTGGTGGACACAGCCATAGCTGAGCCATGCCTGTACCAGTGGGCCAGAAATCCTGCCATGCCTCTGTCTGGGCAGGCTGGGTGCTGACTGCCGGCCACAGGGCATAGATGGTAGTTAAAATATCAGTAGCTTCAGGTGTGGCAGCTAAGAAGACTTAAAAACAACAGTAAATATATGTGTATGTATGATACACATATGCATAGTTGCATGTGTTCAATATGTATCCTTTGTAATGAAATCTTACTACAAATATAATCAAGTTTTCCCTAATTGAACACTAGCTTTGGTAATCCAAACGTGTCGATGGCTTCATGATGGTTCCTTGATGTGTGTTCATATCCAGGGCATTTGCTAGTCCAGGTTTCTCATTTCCTATCTTAGTGTTTGCTTAGGAAACAACCCCAGTGACAGGCCCTTTGCTTTTATAGTGTGACTTTTTAACATGAACACTTCCTTCTTGACGTTAGAAGGGGATTGGTGGAGTCTTGCAGGGTGCCACAGAAATCTAGGTCTGGTAGTGATGGCAGCATTGAGTGACAGTCTGTGTCATTACAAACACAGTATGGCGATAATATCTATTAACCCTGTGAGTCTTCACTGCCTGACCTTATGCTGGCCAACTTTCCTCAGCTCATGGGACGAATGAATGGCTAATGGACTGTGAGACATATTTTGAGGCCTTTCTTTTATTACCATTCTCCCTCCATTACTTTATTCCTCCATGTTCTGCTTAAAATTTTCTATCTCAATGTGCACACACAGGATTGGTTCATAGACGGAACTGTAGGAGATTTTTCTGACCCAAATATTCCAGTCCCAATTTCCATTTTTTAACTGTGGCTATATGAGAGCTCTTTTATAAATTTCAACAAATGTGTTCACTATATGTGTTGCTAGATATAGAGTGCCTTTTCTTTAGTTTTCCTTTGATTCACTTTTACTGTCTTAACCTTAAAGAAATACTCATGAAGTTGTGAGCATGCTGCATTATTCCTGGTTCATCAGATACTCCTGAAAATAGAATTGTGCTGTGAATATCTGTAAAAGTCAAATCTCTTCATGTGCTGTGTCTGACCCAAAGCCATACTCATTTCACTTGAGAGAATCTGATCGAAATTAGAATGACAAAAATAAATAAATAAGTACATAAAAGTAAAAACAAAAACAAAAAACAAAAAACCCCCATTCCCCTGTCCTCCAATAGCGTCTAGTGAATGGCAAGGCAGCCGGCAGGCAGACAGCTCCAGCCTAGGCACTCACCAGCCTGCCAATCTTCCCCTTTGTCTGCAGAGCGTTCCCTTTTGGCTCTGCTCGCTGCCCTTTGTTTGGGACTGCCACTGTGCTGTTGCCGGGCTCCCTCTGAAAGGTGGGTAAATTTATGCCCTGGGAACGCAGCCTTCCCGCAGCTGAATGCCAGCCGGGCAGCTCAGATAAAGCCGCTGAGCAGACTTTACCGACCGGTACTCGGTCCCCATTTGTACATGGGCCAAGTCACTGGGGCATATGTGGCTGTATTCAGAGTGGGCTGTCAACCTCCCCATCAGCATCTTGTCAATAGCAGGGGGACAGCAGACTTCTGTGACAATCCAATTTGCACATCTCTTCTGTGATCATCTGCCACTTGGGCTTAATTGATTTGTATTCTTTAGCCAACTCTCTGGCTTGAGCATTCTTGGTTTATTAAGTCCTGATTCCTTCTCAAAGGCACGGGGCATTTCTTAAAGTCTTTGATTCAAGAAGCCTCTTTCCTCCCCCCCCCCCATCCTTTCTTTCCTTCATTCTTTTCAAGGTCAGATGGCTTGGCTATTTCCAGAAGGCTGCCACCGCCTTTTAGTGCCACATGTGTCTATGATGCCACTGGCAGGCCCTTCCACTTCCATGGCTGACTCTATTAAGAGCCAGCGAAGCCTGAAAGGGAGAATCAATGTTTCATTTGCATCAGAAGGCTCCACATAGCATCACATCCTGCTGGACACAGGCTGGACAGCATCTTAATGCCAATCAGCTTGAGCCACATTGAATTTTAAGGATTTCTATTTTGAAACCCATAAATGTTAGCTCTGGCCCTGCCCATGTTCTAAGACACTCGTCTGCCCCCTTGCCAGACTGTGCGGTTTGACACTCTTGTTCAGCGACTTCCTGCTCATTAAACTGATCAAGATACAAAACTTGTTAGTTAATTTTTCATGCACTTGGGGGATCTGGTTGCATATTTTAATGATCTGCTCTCAGAATGTGCTGATCAAACTGCATATTTTGTTGATTCGCTGTGACATAGCCTTAACTACAGAGTTGCTTGTGCAGGGTCCTGGTTGATGTGAGCTGCATCCAGGAATCGCTGAGTAGATACCGTGTGTGCTAATTGAGCTGTGCAGCTCCACGGAGGCGTTGACATTTTTTACTGATTGATCTGAATAATAACCATTTGGAAATTTCATATTCTGTATCTCAGGGCTCGGATGATATCAAAACCAATATTTATTTGAGTAACAGTCATCCTAGTCAAACCTTTAGGCCTTTCTTTCTCATTTCCTTGGAGTTAGGAAGAGATAGGGACACACACACACACACACACACACACACACACACACACACACACACACACACACACGATGTATGATGGAAACAGACAAAGAAACCAAGGAGTGAATCCAGATAAGGCCGAGCAGAAAGACAATTGCAATACTTAGCTGTTTTTTCTAGATCTTACTGCTGCAGAGGGTTTAGGCACTGACTTTGTGCATTTGGAAAAGAAACTCTATATAACCTGCTGTCTCTGGCCCCCAAACACTGACAGGTGGAGGTGTGCAAAGCCCCTGTGAATGAAGAGTCAGAAAATTCCAGGGCCTTCCTCAGAAGGCCAAGATTGTTGAGCTTTTGTCTAGAAACCACATGTGACTGCTTATGCCTCCTAGCAAATAAAGCAGTCTTCAGACCTCATTTGCTAAATCTGTTTAAAAAAAAAAACCATAAACCTGTCAAGATCATAGGAACCTTCAGCTTTTGAATCCTCTCAAGCAGGAATAGCCAGGTCATGAGTTTAAAAAATAATCCCAACCAAGCACATACAGAGAGCCACAACTGGATGATGTGCAGAGAGTGGGAGAACTTGGAACACTTAGTCCTAAATGGGGTGTCCTCATCAAACCCTTCACCTCAGAGCTCAGGGAACTTTTCAGAAGAGAAGGAGGAGGCGCCAGTGGGGATGGAGGACACCAAGGAAACAAGGCCCCAACACAGCAAGACTGACACACGTATGAACACAGAGACTGGCCACAGACACAGGGATGCACACATCTAAGCCATATAAGGTCCCAGAAATGAGAGGGGAAGTGGACACAAGCCCCCATCCCTAAGCCAGAAGCTGTCTCCAGTTGATAACTGTTCTCAAAGGAAACATTATTTTCTCCCATAGAGTCTCACTGCATATACATACCACAGTTACGGGCACGCTCCACGCCCAGCAGTAGATGGTCAGCACCAAACAAACTCAATGGTATTTTTGGAGGGTTTTGGAATCAAAATGCTTTGTCTGGATTTTTTTTCTTTTACCTTACAGGTATTTTGCTTATATGCTATGGTTTCTGGTTTTGTGTTTTTTGTGGGATTCTTGTGTCTGTTGATGTGTGTGCCTCTGTGTCATGTGTTTCTTGTGTAATGGGATTCTTGTGTCTGTGGATGTGTGTCCCTCCGTGTCATGTGTTTCTTGTGTTTTCCTTTTGGCTCTTTTTCTGTTCAGTTGTTTGTTTTTATTTTATTGTTACTTTTCTCTTTCCCCCTCTCTCTCTCTCTTTTTAGATGCCTGTCTGTTTTCTAATGAGAGAGCGGAAGAAATGCTGTGGATTGGGTGGGTGGGGAGGCAGGGAGGATCTGGGAGGAGAAACTGATCAGAATATATTGTATGAAAAAAAAACATCCATTTTTCAATAAAAAAATAATCACAACCAAGGAAAATTACTTTACATGATAGACAGTGTTTTATATGCTACCAAAGCATAATACTAATAAAAAATGGAAAATTAAAGTTGAAAATGGGTTTGAGAGTAGTGGAGTTGCCTGTTCAAGCAATACATTTGGGCAGGGCTAGGGTTTTGGGGCTGTTGCTCACTATGAACCCATGGAAGGGTGATACAGTAAAACTGTGGTCTATGTGGCTCACATACTTTCTGTCACAAGTGTGGGCTGCTACATGCCCATCTAAGTTTGTTCAAGTCAGACAGCTGCTACATTTGACCCAGAAACAGCCATTTGTTTATCTTTAGTACAGAGCACTTCCCATAATCCTTCAGTCAACCTTTCTGTCAAGATGAAAATAGTAAATACCTTATGGGCATGCTGGGAGAGTGAGACGAGGGAGAAGAGTGTGTGGTTTTCAAATCCTTAGAACTGTGACTTAGATACAGCAAACATCAGGACAGTATATCTAAGCCTGGATTACTTTAATACAATTACTTCAGCATCCTGATTATCTGAACAACACTCATGAAAGCCACAGTATGTGTCATTACTAGGTTCTAGAATGTTCTTTGTGACCTAATCCATCAGGGCCTTTTTCTGCCAGGAGCATACAGAACTGTGGTGGTCAGAGATGAGACAAGAGATGACCCTATTATGGTGTACAGCTGGGATACACCAAAAATACCCAACTTCTCAGATGCTCCACTTACAAGAAGTGGTATCATATTATCAATATTTGCATATAATTGATGCTATATAATTCTCCTATAAACCTTAAATGATCTTTGGATGATGTGCAATAACTAAAGTGGTGCAAATGCATCATGGAAATGTTTTTTTAAAATATGTTTGAGCCAGTTTGTTGAAATCAGTGAATGTGGAACCCACAGACATGGAGGGATATATGTATGTGTGTGTGGGTGTGTGTATACATACATACATACATATATATATGTGTGTGTGTGTGTGTGTGTGTGTGTATGTGTGTGTGTGTGTGTGTGTGTGTGTGTGTGTGTCATAGAGGATGTGTA